TAATGGTTGATTTTTTGATTTGGATTCCTCCTGCGTCAGATATTGGTAAAATAGAAAAAAAAGGATTTACAGAGAACGACAAAGGCTAATTATTTACTTAGATGAAAAAGGGTTGGGTTGACTCAACTGACAAGTGTAAACAAACGCGCCATCAAAAAGAGGTAAGAGAATTACTATTTTGCATGCTGGCTCTAAAGATGGTTGGATACCAAATGAACGCTCTCTGTCTGCGAAACATATTTCTTCTCTGGATTACGATGAAGACACCACCACTGATTTATTTGAAAGTTGGTTTAAAAACAAGCTACTTCCAAACATTTCTCCTAATAGCGTAATTGTAATGGATAATGCAAGTAATCACAGTAAACAGTTGACTAAGACCCCTTCCTCATGTGACACAAAAGCAACAATCCAAACATTGTATAATAACGACATTTATTTTCATGAAGATTATACCAAAAAGCAATTAATTGGGATTCTACAATGCTTGATCCTACAAAAGGAATACGTCTATGATAATTATGCAAAACATCTGGGGCATACAGTTTTAAGGCTTCCACCTTACCACTGTATATTTAATCCCATTAAACATGTTTGGCACCAACTGAAATCTGCCGTAACAATGTTTTTCCCCGTGTTAACTAAAATGTCCTCAAAACGAAGTTTTTAACATCCCTCCACAAAGTTGGGCAAATTCTGTTAAACATATAGAAAAAGCAGAACAATCGTATATCCATATTGAAAATAAAATAGAACAAATAATAATTAGAGCAGGTGATCATAGCGATAGTGATACTGATATATTATGTGAATAATTTTAAGTAATTTTAAGTAATTAATTAAAGTAATTTTAAGTAATTTAAGTAGCTAATAAAAATAATTTGTAATTTTATTTTAGATTTAAACATAAATACATACATAAATAAATAATTGAACTGAGGTGGCTTTTACTTGATGAAAATCCATTTATCAAAATAAATAAATGTTATTTAGTATCTTTCCTAACAAAACCACAAATAATTAAATTCTAAGTACGGACCTGTTCGGCCATATATCATTTTTGCAAATTGCGCGGGTTTTTCTGTAATTCGTATCAGTTAGTCACTTTCTTATATCTATGAACAGACTTTACTCCCGCTGTGACTGAAGTCAAAGAAGCGTCTGTGAACGGTGTGACTGTGAAATGACTTTTTATAATTTTATTGATATTGCTTCCTTTTGTTTATTTATATAAACGTCCTGTACTTCATTATACACACTGTCCCATTCTTATGTATTATACACTGTTTTATTATATAGTGTATACACTTTTTATATAATTTATTCATTATGTTGTATTTTATATACATATTTTTGTACATATTGTATTTATGACTTGCCATAATTGTAATAACAAAACGTGTTCAATAAATTCTATTCTATTCTATTAAATCGGCATACAATTGACGACTCATTTGACCGATTAAAATTCTCCTATTTTATCGGCGACCCATATTGGAGGTCGTAAGTCGGTGTCGTCGTGTTGACAAGCGCGCGACACGTAAAACTCGCCCGAACACACAAACACACAATTTTCATCTTACGGCTCACGTATTCGAAACGGCATTAATACGAAAAGGAAAATTTCTCTCTCCTCACGTCCGCGTAACGTGAGAACGATAAGGTCGACATTAAGGTGATCATACATTTCGAAGTCACTTTTTCTTCCTTCCTACAAGGGAAACGTAGCTCTTAGCATGTGACGCTTTATTTAGTGCCTCGAATTTTCTGAAATTGTTTCGCGAGTTCCGATAAATAATCTCTACGAGGGTGCGTTTTAAATGCGTCGTAAATAGATTGGAACCACGGCATATTAGAATTTTGCATGGAATGTTATGGAAACAATAATCACTTGCAAAAAATTCTGAGAGCTGACTTAAACCTGAACAAAACTAAGTAGATGATACTGATGAGCAAAACCCGAGAACCGGCTACCCAGTTGATGATAAATAATCAGTTAATTCAACACGTGTGCTCATACCTTAGAGAACAACCAGGTCAACTTAAAATGGAATCAAACAATCGAAATACGTATTACAATTGAAAAAAACATAACCTATAAAACATCACTGCTGCTAAGACTAAATAGTTTAAAAGCTAATGTTTACTTAATTGACTTTACAAATTATCTGGTCGAATTGTGAGAAGGAATTCATATACGCACTTGCTTGGTTATATTCTTTCAACATGACGGAGCACTTTGGGCATGGTTTATGAAACTGGTTAGATTAAAATTTTGGTTAAACCCACTACATTACTATAGGTGGAGTAATTTTTTTATGCCACAGAAGTAGACAGCCCAGAAGAGTCACTAAGTAAATTAATAATTTTGGAAATCAAATTGGGAACAATCGCTTCGCATCTTCGTGTATCTCGGAATATTAGAATAAATAATCAAATTGTGTTTCAGAACTAAATGTAAATTAGTGATTTTTCGCTGATAGCCATTCAATACTACATTATGAATTAAACTTACTGGTTAATGTTATTTTATTTATTTTATGAGCCATGAGCCATTAAATTAAATAATTAACAAATAACAAACCTGTCAATCAGGTTTTAAGTCTTACATTTTAATTTTTGATGAATAAATAAGATGGGCCTGCTAAATGCATTTTCCCCGAAAATCGTCCGTCCTAGCGGTATCAATCAAGTATGCTGTTTTCTCGAAACAAAACACAACTTAGAATATGCCAATGAAAAAGCTTTAGGTATTGCAAATGTGTATGATGTGGATAATACAGGGTCGGTTTAAATAAAATTAAAAAAATTAAGTTATTAGACATGAACTAAGGAAAATTTTAGGAAAACTAAATTATTTGATATCAGTGTTTCCATACTATTCCATTTATTTTATTTATTTTATGGAAAAATAAAATGTACAAAAGATACAGGGTTCAAAATGAGTTTCCTCGGAAACCACTTGTTTTGCATACAGGGAGTCAAAATTTTGAACTGCTACTATCTAGACTGAAATTGTAATTCTTCAATGTTTTTGCATTTTTAGATTCTTTTGAAAAAACTGAGCTAATTCTATAAGTAGAATTTGTGCTGGGAAGCGAATACCAAAAGGCAAAGTGTTTGGTTTTTTTAGAAATATTCCTTAATCCATTACCTAATTTTGGTAGCGTTAAAGCGTTAATGGTTCCAAAGTTACCCAAACAATCCCATAGAAGACAGATAAAATTCCCCTTCAAAACCTGTTTAAAACAAAGTCGCAAAGTGGGTGGAGATCGCTGTTTAGAAATAAGATGGCAAGAAGTGAATGTTTCTGTGGAAAATTTAAAAGCATGAGAAGATCATTTATACGAAAATGTGATGGTTGCCTTAAAAAAATCTATAAGTGCAAATGAAAAGTGAATCTGTTTGGAAGCTGTTTCGAACGTTTACGTCTTTCGCTGGGCGTTGAGCAAGAACTTCTAGAGAAACCGACGCATTAGTCGTCGAATGCATTGATTCGCTGCCGAATTTTAAAACGAGCACCGAGCGACGAAATGAGTTATAGTGGAACGCCATTTTGGAGCACAAAAGTTCCCGAAAACTTACTTCCTCGACGCATGCAATAGTAGCCATAAATCGCTACGTCAGCCGCGATAAGGGAAGTTCAGTATGGTTTATAAAGATATTTATGGCGCCCCGAAAACGTATTTGACAATGTGATAAAACCTTGAGATATCCTCTCTGTAGATAAATTCCGGCTAATAAAAAAGATAAGTTGTTATCGGGGCTTCGGTTATGGTGATGGAAAACGCCAACGAAAAGCTCCTGTACAACGTCGAAGACGTTAAAACTCATGCGAAAGGTTACCCATTTTATTGACCTACATGCTACGTACTTTCGTACTGTGCATTTCTGAAAAATTAACAGGAATAAAAGTTAATGGAGCTAAATCTTCTGCGAGATATCGAACCATTTTTTTGGTTTATTTAAGTTAAAGAGAGAATTTTAAAATTGTTGCGGCGACAACAATCCTGTTTTATTTCACGTTTCATCCAGGTTTTGCTTGACAGATATTTGACTGAATTTTGGACAACGGTTTAGTCTGGTAAATCAATGCATTGGTATTTTCATTAAGATTTGAATGAACATATACAGGGCGCAATAATGTCATTGTCAACCGGAATCACATTTGAGCATGATTTTTTCTGAAAGTTTTTTCTTTTAATCACGACATTATCTATGTCTTTATTGGAGATACACTATTTTAAAGCATACCACCTCCTATGAGAAAACACAACGAATAAACGTCAAAGCGTTATACTCAAATTTTTAATTAGCGTGGCTTTTCACGCAAAATTGACCTCATCAATAAAGTTTGTAGGAAATTATAATGGAATGCATTTATGAAGTCGCTCAATTGGATTAAGATCAGTATTGCAAAATGGCCAAACCATTCGTTCAATACCCACTTCGTCCAAACACATACGATTAATACCGAATCTATTCCCGCCAATAAATTTCAACAAATATTAAATCTGTTGAAGTTTTTAAAAGTAGATTTTGATCATCACACATTGAAATTTTAATATTTGTTCGTTGGTGATCCTATTCTGCAGTATTTAACTTTGTAGAATATTTGTTTCAAGGAGAGGTACAAAAAAAGTATTTTCAAAATTTATACCGTTTTATCAGAAGACAAGAAAAAGCTTTTCACCAGTTCAAGGTTGGCAGCTTGTTCAAACAACAGCTTAATATACGTCATTTTACATTGCTTCGAATTAACATTCATTTACATTAGTTCATTCCTAATATGGTGCACAACTTTGTAGATTTTTTTTTTCACTTTCCGCGAACATTATAACTTTATAAGCAAATTTGTCCATTCAAGATCACGCAAATAAAAGAATTTCTTATAGGTTAGGTTTTCAAATTTTCGAAACGGCACGTGACATGAATCGGTTATAGCCGCATAAACCTCGGACGAGCCTGTAAATTATTCCAACCCTATCTTTTATTTACAGGATCTCGAGTTAAGACTTCGTCGCCGTCATATAGATCGTCCTCAAGAGGCAACATAAACATGGGTTACAGCGGAAACTCGGGCCTTGACGGCAGCGGCTCCAGACGGGCAAGCAGCTCGGTTAGCCAGGTAGGAAAGTGAGAAATTGAGTTCGCGTTTGTCGGGAATTTGTGCGAGGAGATTCCTTCCAAGTACCCATTCAAATGCAATTTCGTTTAGGGCTCCCTCCGTGCGTGATACTCGCCCGCATTCAGAGACATAAAAAATAACACTTTGATCCGCGACGTTTGTTTTTGGGACCGTTCCATTCTAATTTTCCATTTTTCTAAAGTATTTTAAGGGTGGTAAATTGTGGTAAACATTTTAAATTATGCCATGTTATTTACGCGGCTTTGTGTGGGTATAACAACATGTTGTTACAACGTTAAACATACTGCAAACTACTTAGGAGAAAATCGAACGTAATTGTTAAGGCAACAAAGTTTCCAAGGCGCCGACAAAGGCACATTTTCAAAGGGTAACTTAGTATGCGATGCAAAACTTCCGGATATCGATTTTACAAAATTCAAATTTCTTTCGGTAAACTTAAAAGGCCGATCCGACGGGGACAATAGGGGCGATAGAACTTTAAAATCTTTCAAGTTTTGTTTAAACGAGAATCATCATACTGAATCATAATGAGAGCCTGCTAGTTCCATTTTTCACTGTAATTAATCAGTGCTTTTTTAATCACGCGTTTTTGCGATCCTATGATTTTCAATATTTCGATGCTGCATTTGCGCTTTTAGGCGTTGGTTATTTTACAAAATTTCCACTTCGCAAAGAAATAAAAGGTAAAGAAAATATCAAACTATCAAATAGACAGGAATCTCAAGAATGATAGATACGAGCTTCCTAACCTTAAAAATCTATAACGTGTTCTCCGTGGAATATACAGGGGGTTATTGAAATTACAACATACAATTGAATCCGACTCGAAGGACCAAATTTCGTATCGATGCGGAAAGTAAATCCTTCCTTGACTTTGTAATCGCAACTAATTACGTGCCGTTCTCGCTCTTTTTACCAATTGCCTTGTCAAAAAAAAAAGAAACGGGCACAGCGTCGCAAAAAAGCGTTTTATAATAAAAAAAATTAAAGTTTACAAGTTACCCGAAAAATACTCTTCTACCACTAAAAGATCGAACACTCAGTTTTGAAGAAAAAATGGCAAAAATAATTGTTATAATGCTTGCAGTCTGGTATCCCAAAAAAAATTCCCCAAAGATTTGGTCTAAAATACATGTCTTGCCACAGGATTATTTGGATCATTTGGACCAATTGTTTCAGAGGACATATTGTTATTTTGTCTACTAAGACTACAAAAGGTTCCCGGTTAATTTTTAGCTAAAACATTGCTTTTTTTCATCAATTCAAAGCCAAAAAAAAATTGTTTCAGCATCAGCGTTAACAAGATTTTGGCACCATAAGTTTAATTCATTCAAATATTCAAAAACCGAAAAAACTAATCGATCGGTCTTATTGTTCCGTTTACTCACGCTGCCAAATATTCCTGAAGAGTTTTTACCAAGAACATCGCTAAATCACTAAATTCAACATTTTATGTTGTTGTAATTTAGTGGTGTCATACTCTTATTTAATATTTTTGTTGCTCTCGTTATCATTTTTGATTTGTCACATTATCAACTATATAACGCCAGTATTCCGATTTCAATAAGTGAGTGAAAACCCATAAACTATAGAGTGAGTCTTTAAGGGATACTAGAAATAGATACACCATAAAATTACATCGGGTGACTTGTGAAATGTATACTAGGAAGCAGTATATCTTGCTTCCATAAGTCCTACATAATAGCTATCTAAGATTTTTGCTCCTTGTTACTAATTAATGGAAATCGGAGCGGTGTATAAAGAAAACGTAACCAGTCATAACAACAACAGAAATAAACGGTACTGTTGGTTAGTTTTGGTGGGTTGTGGTTGATTTTGTACCATAACCATGTACCATCTACTAATGTTCCGATCATTTGGTAATGTTGTTGTTGTTTAATACGTCTTGCGATTATCAGTCTGACAGTAAGATGCCCGGTTGCGGCCATAGTCGTACTGGGCGAGAGACCGGGCCGCGGTGGGCTGGAGAGTTGCTCCGGGAATGAGGCAGGCGAGGCTTATGATGGATGGGCCCGACCTTGGGAGGCATCTTTGCTTGCTAGGCATTGGAGACGACCCGGAGTGCAGGTGGTGCATGGAAGGGGAGGAGACCCCGTATCATCTGCTCACCGAGTGCCCTGCTTTGACATGGGCAGGATTGGGAGTCTTCGGAACGGCCCTGATCGATTCGGACTCAGTGCACGTTATTGGGCTAAAGGAGTTGCTGACCTTCTATAGGAGGGGCGGCATTCTGGACGCCCTCTAGAGCGGCCTGGGGGCACAACGGGCCCATCTGGTGGCCTAAGTGCTTGGAGGCCCGCCAGGGTGCCCCCCTTTAATACCAATACCAATAGTCGTACTGTTTGTTGGGGCGGCTAAGGTTATGCATTTTTTCATCCGATTGGAACCGAGCAAAATATTAATTTGGAATCAGGATGGAGTTCAAATTTATATATTAGATTATATATTGTCATTTCAATAACACCCTGTCTGCTATGGTCACTATTAATTTTATTTGCATATTCCTTTTATCCCAAATGGTTTTCCTGATTTTAATTTATCTTTAAAAAAGATTTTAATTTATGTAATAAGCATTCCAACAACTCATTTAATTAAAATTCATAACAACAAAGGAACGAAATGTTCTCATTTCCCTGTCGATGAGAATCCGGGTGGATTAATCTCCCCTTTAAAAAAGTTGTTTATATGGCGGCTGTTTCGGAGTTGTTTAGGGAGTCGAACCTTTTTAATATCCGCGAAACCTCAACTTGATAATCAATTCGGACCCTTTCAGTCTGAAGTTGATAAAAGGAGACGTCATTGTAAGGAGCACAAAGACAACTGTTCAGGAAATGTTTCGGAATATCTCAGTTTGCAATTTACATAATTTACAAACTTTTACAATCGAATGTTTACTTATTCCGATTGAGACTCATGTCGGAAATTTCATTTCATAAATTCTGGAGAATTTCGGTCCTTTCGGTGTGTAACATTTATATAAATATGTATATTTTTGGGACTATTTATGTACAGAGTGTAATCGAGTATCTCAGTCTTAAATAGTTTCAAAAATTAACACCAAAACACATCTCACACGCATGAGCATTGGTTCGATAAGTACAGGTTAGAACTAGTGTTATCGTCTAAAATTTGTTTGTCCCATAACCTGAATTAAACAGGTGGTGGTGCCACAGGTGTCTGGTGACGAGCAACGGAGATTGTGCGCCGACCAGAAATACATTGAGGACGGCGGCCAGAGTCTAGGTTTGGGATTGAGCTTGACGACGTACGGCTCGGTGGCCTATCAGCTCAAGGACGCCAACCTAGAGGCGACCAGCACCTGCGACTTTGTGTGCCGGGCTCTGGGCATTGTCAATAAAACTGGTAAGCCACTTTTGAATTAACCTGAACAACGCAGAGGACTTAAGAGGACAGAAATAGTTTTCACAAAACCTTAATTTTTTTTTAGTATAATTGAAATTATTTCGGTTTAGCTGTACCAATAACTGACAGCCAGGCTAAGCTAATTTATATGACCGGAAGTGTTTTAGAAAATATTCAAATTAGGGAGAATTATCAATTGCGAAGCAAAGGATCTACTTTGATTCTCTCCAGAGCAATAGTGATATATCTTGTTTCACATTTTTTATTAAACTCCACAGTTTAACGAATTCCAGAAAGTGTCTCCTTGGTGTAGCTTGTTGCGTCTGCTTTGGTTATGCCCAGCAGATGGCATGATAGGTGTTTAACTGTTTTCATCTCTTCTTTGCAGCATCTGCATTCAGTGGTTTCTTCAACTGCTATTAGATGCCTCTTAGGCCGTCGGTACAGCATTCTTATGGCATTACTTTTGTAGCTTAGTACCTGTTGTAAATTTGGTAGATGAACTTCTGAGGAATTCCTAGCTAATTTTACCATGGATTTCGCTAACCTACAAAAGGGCTCGCTACGCTCCACGACAAGGGTTAGCTGGCTAGATCTAGCTTTAGTGTCCTGATATCCACGACAGGCCGGTGAACGTCACAATTATATGCAATATCTTTTATGTATTCCAGATTACTTCTGCCCTTATTGGTGGCCAATTTTTCCAGTTTCTTCTATATTGGATTTGAGTCCTGTAATATTTAACAATGCAGTATTTCGGTGTTGTACTCTCAATGATTTTATTTGCCTGTACAGCTTGCGATGCTGGTTGCTATGTCCGCGTTGGTGGAATCTACAAATATGTATAATTCCAAAGGCACAGCAACATAACACAAAAAACGCTAACCATTATTAAAATTGGTAAAAAGTCATCAAATGAGTAATACGCACCATCCAGCAGAAGTGATTTGGCCTTAAGAGAGAATTGTCTCTCCGGCAACTCTTTGACGCTTAGAGGCAAATAGATTGAAGAATTTAGGTCCATAATAGTTCTTATAATTTCTAGTTTTTGCAATTCTTGAGTAGTTAATCAAAATATCCTTCCTGTTTCTGGTGAGATGGTGGCAAACATTAATATGAAGGGGATATTGATCCTGGTTGTTTTTAATATACTTTAATGCCGAATAGATATAATAACATGGAACAGTTAATATTTGGAGATCTTAATCTTTGCTCTTACGTCATCCCTAAAATTCAACTGCGTCATGGCCTTGATGGCTCGCCTCTGTATCGAAAAAACTCTTTCGGTATGTGAGGAGTGACCCCAAACCAAAATTGCGTAGCTAAATAATCCCTGGAAGAGTGAAAAATATACCATTCTGACTATACTTTGAGAGATTTCGCCGAGCAAACCGCGCAACAAGTACACCACCCTGGAGACCTTCTCACAAAGACCAATAATATGCTGCTCGAACTTCAATTTCGGATCAAGCAGAACCCCAAGGCAGTTCACATGTAATGGATTGTTGAATCTTGACTCCCGTAAAGACAATATAATTTGTTGTGCTTTTGATTCATTGAGGTTAAGTTTGTTAGCACGAAACCACTCACTAGCCCCGGACTGTGCCCCTTCCATCATGTGCACCAAGTCGTTCTCAGAATGACTTCGACAAGAAAAGGTAGTACCATCAGCGAACAATGTACAAACATGCTCAGGGAAATCGTCTATATAGATTTCTGGATTCTTCCTGCATTGGTGAGGGCAACTTGCTAACGTTTCGCCAATCATCCTGTTGGCTTCTTCAGAGGTTAACTTAAACTGGCTCGCATTTTACTCTGTATATTGGAGCTAAATGAGCGACATAAACAGCGTCTCGAATGACTGTAAAGACCTGAGTCGCGGTTAAGATTTTTTGGATGCTTATAGATTTTTATAGATTCTAGGATTTTTCGTTGTATCGAATAAAGTTTTATGTTCGGTTTCGTGATTGTGTTCGACAACTGATGCTGAGTTTATTTGTCTTAGTATTAAGGCTCTTTCATGTTATTTGAGCCTAGTTTCGTCCGGCCTGTCCAATGTATTCTTTGCCACGTAAAGTCCTGGCTTCTCAAATGGAATTTTATCTTTGATGGATCAAAGATGTTGATAGATTTTTGGACAAGTGGCAAATCTGGTTTTGACGTTATATTTTTTAAGAACTTTTTTTGCATTCAGACTCATTGCTATTGGAAGGTTGTGGTGAAGTGTATTTTGTGATGTAACGCTTAATATTTTTATTATTGAAATTATTAGAGAGAATAGCAGAGGTAAGGTATTTTAATTCCGGGTTCAGTGACTCGGGCTGAGATAGTTTTACAAGAGAGTTCATAACCGACGATTTTTGGGCCGGATGGTGAATGTGACAATGCATTAGAATACTGGTCTGCGTGGGTAGGTTTTCTGCAAACACAATGAACCAATGTTAGATCTGATTTTCTATTAATAAGAATATCTAAGAACGGAATATTATTATTAGTTTCTAATTCAATGGTAAAACGTATGTTAAGTTGTATATAGTTTAAATGTCTAAGGGATTCTTGACCATGAGGCCAAATAACAAAAGTATCATCGACGTAGCGTTTCCAAAATTTTGATTTTAGATGGAAGGTGTGGAGAGCTTTCTTCTCAAAGGCTTCCATAAATATATTCGCTATGACTATTGATAACCCATAGCTGTTCCCGACGTTTGTTCAAAAATTTGACCGTTATAAGAAACATATGGTCCAGACAAGCATTTCTCAATTAAGGTTTGGTTCCAGATTTCCGGAATAGGGACTTTAGCAAAGAGGGATTCTACGTCGCAACTAAATAGAATATAATGTATGTTTATATGATAATAATTCAACCATTGGTGTTATGCGTATGCACATAAATTTTACATACCAAGATGTACCTTACGCCATTCCTTTAAACACCGAACCTTGAAGATTAAATCAGCAAAAAGGAAAGTTCGTTTGTGCATTAAAATAATGCAGGGGCGGGTAAAGTTGGCATTTGTCGAGTTTGCCGGCAGAAAATCACTTTAGCCTTCTACGAGATTAAAATTGCGTCGCATTCCGCGATAGAAAATCTTTACTAGCCCGGAATTAGCGGGATTAGTTTCCCGGAGTAATTAAACTTTACCATTTTCGAGTCGGAATCGATAAATTCGATATTCGTCATCTGTCCGATTTCCCCCGCCTGGCGGTTTTCCCGCGCGTTAAATCGGACGTTGTTCTTTTCGAGAGTGACCGCGATATCAATCGAATTTTCCGGTGGAGAACGGTAATTTTCCAGATTGCGGAAGTGCCATCGGGGAGTCTGGGGAGTACGTCGGGCGCGTGAATACGTTTTAATAAACTCCGCGGGGCGCAGTTTTATATAAATTGGACGAATTCAATTTGAGTCGACCCGACGATCAGGCCCGATCGATTTCTTTTATTTTCGATCTCAAATTAACGAATGCTATACAAGGTACGCGGATGATCGAGGACTTCATTTCACAAGGATTCAATAATTAGAATAATAATAATACCATTTATTGCATCTATAAGAAAATCTTCATGAAAAGAAATGAGGTAGCTTACAAAAAAAGTGCAAGGAAGAAGAATTAGACTATATAAAAAACAAACTATTCTTCTTCTTTTTCTGCTTATTCATTAATAGATGTTTGCAACCACATTTTCCATAATGAATGTGACGTATGGCAATCCACTCTTGCGTTCTAGTCATCTTCTACCATCGATCTTGCCCTCAGTAACCATTTGCAAAAACTGGTATTTATGATTGCGCATTATGTGACCCAGTGATCCAGTCTTTCTTTTTTTTACAATGTTAAAGGGTTCGCGACCTTTGTTAATACGTCTGAAAACATCTTCGTTTCTCGTTCTGGCTGACCATGGTATCTTAAGAACTCTCAAATCTCTTGCAATTTTTTTATGGTTTTTGCTCTTAGTGTCCAGCCTTCAACGCCGGACAGAAGCACTGACCAAACATAGCAGTCCACAAATCTCAACCGAAGAGTAAGATCAAAGTCCTACAAGTGAACACTTTGTTGAATTTTAGGAATGCCCCTCGGGCTTGTTCTATTCTGCTTTCAATTTTCTTATCTGAAGACCATTCTTCACAAAGCCAAGTTCCTAGGTACCTAAATTTTTCCACGCTTTTTTAAACGCGTGGATCTCTCTCGTGCTAACCATGAATTTAGTTTTCTTTGTGTTCATGTTCAAACCCATATCCTGGCTACAGTTTCCGACCATATTAACAATCCATGTTGTCCGCAATCAGAACAGTCTAGTCAGCAAAGCGTATATTTATTTATCCAAAGTCCCCACACTCCTCGACGAATTTGGATTTGGTTGGTCAGACCGTTAGCCACCCTGACCTGTGCTGATGGTATCAGTATGAGTTTGTCTGTGTAATGTCTTTTTCGATGCAAATCAAGCCTTTTGAGAATCTACAGAAGTTTATGATGTTGTACTTTGTCAAAAGCCTTTTTGTAGTCTAAAAAAACATAAACACACGTTTTTTTCCTGGTCATTGCAATTCTTTTTTGGTAGGGGAATAAAATTTAAATATAGCTTGTAAAGTACTGCAATGCTGCTCTCGTTTAAGTATTAACCAGAGAAAATAGAAGTAAAAAAATAAATATTGATATGATATGAAAACTTTTTACTTAATTAAAAAGAAAGACCGCACCATTAACATTTCTGAGATGAATGTCACAATATAACCCCAGTCAGTCATTGGAATTGGTAGATTGTACAATTCCCCTATTCGAGAATTTTGGATATTTATAATCTGAGCTAGTGAAATTATAGAGAATATAAATGACGTAGGCTCATATATGACCTGAAATTTTCAGCATGACCTAGAAACGAGGTATTTGCCAAGATGTTTTTGTCATTTAGAATTAAGGAAGAATATAGGAATTCAACGCCATACTGATTTTGATAATTTTTTTTATGTTTTACATACAGTCTTATTACGTTGTCTATCTTGAGTGCATTTATATACATACACTCATACGTGTTCCTCCACATAAGCACGAATTACCTATAACGATCAAATTATCGAATGTTATCGTCTCTAAAAGCAATTATTAATTAGCAGAAAATATTTTATTTGGGGAATAAATTTCACAAAACTGCTTCTTATGTATATTTCAGTTAACTATTCTATGGATGCTTGGTATGAGTAGTTTTTAATTTTATAATTTTAACTATATATTGATAATTTAAATAATTTTTGGATTGACAGATACGGCTTTTTGGAAATCTAGGTGTCTAACTTATGGCTATGCTTTGAAAGTGAAATATTGTATTTGTAATATTATAATATTATAATTTACATCAAGCTACCAGCTTCCTTCCTGAATAAATACAAAGTGTGAAGAAATGCATGCTGATGCTAGGTTCATGGTAATAAGCCATAGATATATTTAGATATATAGCTTATTGGGTGTGAAGCAGAAACAGAAATTTTCTGATAGAGATTAACAATATTATGCAAAGATATTTCTGACTATTTTATTTAGATATATCCTTAACATCTGTCTTATGATAATTTTGCGGTAACTTATTTCGTATATTTCATATCGTATTTTTACTTAATAACTTTCCAAAGCTTGCCATTAAAAACGACCTTATTTTTCCAAAACGCATTGTTAGACAGTTAACCAATTATTTTAATGGATAATATTACTGAAATTAGATTTAACGAGTTGGATAACTTTTAAATACCCATTTAAAGAAAGTTTCTAAATGAAGTCATGTTTTTATTAATAGGATTCACCAGTCGGGTTTATAGACGTTCTCGTATAATTTAAATTTATTATTCTGTCTGCCGAAAGGGAAAATTAAAATTTGAATATTTACCAATAAACAATTAACATTTACCATTTCTATATAATTAATTTAATATCACTTTAATGCATACAATAAAATTCCAATCAAAGAGTTAGCAGTAAATATACTAAATCATTCATTATTCCTTTCAGAACTAACCAAAAATTGTTTGTTTCAGTGGTAGTCACCATCGTTCTGGCCTGTTTGTCCTTTCTACCCCTGATCATGCTTATTATGGGTAAGTAATATAATAAACTGATACTTTGAAAAATGTGTTGCCATAATCTGGACCAAGTAAACTTCTAATCGGCCAAGTTTGTCATGTTCCAGTGAATTTTTTCTATAAGGGTTTTTCTATAAGGGTGGATTCTGGAGTTCCTCCAAATTTCCAAATGTCTTTGACATACCATAACTTCTCACATTATTGGAGAAAAAATGGTCTCAAAAATCACTTACAATTCAAAAACTAAAATTGATCAATCGATATCCGCAATATAGTGTGCAACTCAAATCCCACTAAAGCTTCAATTTCGATTGTTAACGGTTTTAATTTGTAATTTTCAATGAAACTGACAGTTTGGACGGTGCCTGTGTGATTGTGTATCATTTTCTTTAACTGTAAGGTGAAAAAAAAATTAAAAAATAAATAAACAGATCGACCAGTATAATACGCACCTGTTTTATGGCACATTTAAAGAACACACAACATACAACACGAATCGGCGAGGTAAAGGGAGGAATGGAAGTTAAGAAATGTTAATTTAACAACTAAAACGCCAATGCATTCAAAGTTTAGTTGGTTCAAACTATAGACTTATATCTCTTTTGCACGAGTTTTTTATTGTTTGTTGTCGACAAATTCGAACATCACTTTTCACTTCATTAAAGCCGCATCTCCGCACTTCGAAACAGACATGGAGATGCCCACCCGTGATACATATACATCGCGGATTGAATTCTCTCATAAATCCAGTTTTGATCTAATCCCGTCGGATTGCATTCATCATACAATTTGATGCGTTTCGCTCTCTATCTCTCTCTCTCTCTTTCTATCTCCCGCTGACAGTAGCGTCCGCGGTATGAAACTGCAAATAACAAAATACAAAAAACAAAAATCCAATCTTCGGTAACTGTTTCGTATCACCTGTATTTGAATGGAAAAAAAGAGAACCTACTTTAATACGAAATTTTTCGGAATGCATTTTTAACACGTCCGACTCTGTTTAACGGCAATCGGCGATAAAACGGAAAAGGAGAGAAAGAAAATGTGTGCTTTGTTTTAAAGTTCGATTTTAAAAGAGCAAAAATTATGCAAAAAAAAAATGAACATTTTTTTTTTGCATAATTCCGATTCGTCCGGGATAGTTTCGGATTTAGTGGGGGTCGTATACAGTGTGACCACTTGGGGTCTTGAGATTTTTTATTAATGAGTAAATTGTGATTTCCTTTGTCTGTCAAAATTGATATTTTCTATAAAAAAATATATAAAAAATTGGTTATTTTGAAAATACCGAAAAATTCCAAAAAAATATTTTCCATTACAGTTTTAACATATTTGTGAGCAAAAAAATACGCTATTTTTCTCTGATTCCCCAACACTTCTCATTTCCTCCAATGAACTCTCTAAATACTAACAACGTAATACAAACGAAACGGCCTTAATCGGAAAGAGAATGGTTAAAAGGATGCATTATCCAACGTATTACGCAATTGTTGTTTGCTGCTACTTTTTTTAATTGATTAACACCTCCTCTTTCGCCACAACACGATATAAATTTATTCAAAGCCGCAATTGGTGACGGAATGATGACCAATATATTCAAGGCTGGCATGTAATTGGATCACAATTTGTAGCTAAAACCTGTGGAAATTATGGGATATATCGGATTGATTTATGGTCGCGCTTTATTATTATTTATGTATTACCGAACGTTGTCGCCGTTATTGTAACAAAACAAAAAGAAAATAAAAACCGGTAGCGATTCTATAAAAATTACATTAAAGGGATAATAGTTCTAAATAAAGCAAAGTTTATTTAAAAAACCTAATTTTATTTTCAGAAAACTCCAATCTGGCTGGAGATTTAAAAAAATGCATTTTTTTTGTTTGTTGTATGAATAAATACGGCATTCTTTTTATAGTCTATATATCTTCCTAAAACGTGTGTTTTTTGAAACAAAATATATTAAATTATATGCCAAAAATCCGTTAGTTAACTCAGATGATTTAGTTACAATGCTGCAAACACTGAATTTGAAATTATTTATATAAAAAAATTAATGAATTTTGTTTTATATATTTTTTTTACAACACACACTTAATATTATTTAAATTGATTTCAATAATTGTCTTAGAAAATATGCTACAGTAGTTGTTTCGACGACAGTGATTGTTATGATTGCAAATAAAAATATTGCTTGATCAAAAGTTATAAAGCAATTAAATGCTTAATAATTTATTCAAGTGTTTTATAATTTTTTTTGTCTATTTAATATTTTTTCATTTAAAAAAATAAATGAACCGCCTTACCAGACATTTGTTATTTTATATAAAATGATTTTTACATATTCACAATGATAAATACAAACATTTAAATAAAATTGAACAAAAATCATAAAAAATGTTAAAGCCATAGAATTTATTCGAAAATTTCATACTTTCTCTGGCCAATTTATTAAGAATGTTCTGCTAAGTATTTTTATTTAACAAATAAATCCAAATTTAATTGAATTTTATGCAATTTTTTAAGGCTTTTTAACAGTTATTGTAAACAAATAAACTCTGTTAACACGCACTTGTTATTTTATTTAAACTGAGTGTTATGCAGTTTTTTACACCTTCTTAATATGTTAAGGTGTATGTATGTATATTTTATCCAAAAATTTCATGAATTCGTTTGTCTGTTTAATAATTTTTTTAATCTTATGTTGAAATTTTTTTTGAAATGTGTATGGCTTTTCAACAGTAACCTTATGAAATACGCTACGATGGTTGTTACCATGACAATTAAAAGATATTTTAATGGAGTTGAACAAAGATCATAATCAATAATTAATTAATAATAATTTCTTCAAGTATTTTCCTCTCTATCTGCTGTTTTTATATAATTAAAAACACCTAAAAAGGCGCATTATATGCTCCAATTTCGAAAATTCAATTAAATAAATCAAAAAAAAATTTTTTTCTGCCCCCTCAGTATGAGGGAGTGATAAAGCTAAGAGTAAAAATTAAAATAGTTAAAAATTAAAATTATCAAATCCATCGCATTCCAGGTGTCCAGTTCTTGCGCGACTGCCCCAGAGAACCGAATATCCCGATTTATATGGTGGTGGGCGGCAGCGTGGGCTGCATCAAAATGGGTCTGACGCTCTGGTCGCAACTTCACACCAGACGCATGGACGCGCAGTCATCGAACGCAACTTCCATCGGTTCCAAAGTCGCATCGGTATGAATATCTATTAGTTTTCGTCTAGCCATTCGCGGCAAATTTATTGCCGAAGTTAAATTGGTTTTTCAGCGGAGATACGGTGATTCGACTATGCGATGCCGCCCACGTAAACGGCCACCCATTTTTAATTAAGGCAGACCGCTCTCCGTGAACGATCGCGAAGCTTCAGTTAATAAATCAAAACGAAACTCGTCGGGTCTGAAATAGTTTCCCGATTTGAAGATTGGAGCGCGAGGGAAGCAGATCAGAAGAATATTACAATTTCAGTTTTACAAACTTAGGAAATCAAAATAAACGCATATTTTGATCGTAATTCATTCGGCATTTGTTATGTTAGTTATTCTTGGCAGTCCTAATATCCTTGGAGTTCCAAAATTACTTTGGCATTTAAACATTAAAACATGGTCAAACAAATTTTTTATATGGTTGCAACAGGACAACAGTGTGACAAGATAGTGGGAGATTTTGACATATTTCCGTTTTTGAGTTGCAAATTATGAAAATAAACTAGTGTAATACTTGAGAGTATCTCAGCGCTGCGAAAATTCAAAACCAATAGCAATATTTAATAATGGGATAATCTCAATATTTCACTTCTGGCATCCATCACAATATTTATGTAAACCTGTTTGAGCTACCGGTAGAGGGGGAAAATAAGATTTTTAATGGCTTGAAATTTTAGCAAAAATAAGAAAAGGTGATTTGGAGCGATATCAAAATTATTTGAGTGAAGAAAGTGGAAGCTAATAAAATTATTAAAGATATTTTTTACTCTAAAATATTAAATAGAAAAACTGAAAATGTGTATGGAAGATATGTCTTTTTTACCATGTTAATGTTTAGACATTATGCACCATTAAATCTTGTCGTTAAATGGAAATCATAACAACTAAATCAGAAGATTTGGAATGAACGTCGTAGTATCCTAATTATATCTAGTATATTTCTATTAGTTAATTGTTACCACCTCAAAATAAAAAAATAATTTAAAATTACTAATAGTTTATGAGTAAAAAAATATGATATGATTTTACTTTAAAATTCTTAAAGTAGGAAATAGAAGAACAATATCTGTTATTCCCACATTATTTTATTTTGTGAATCACATTTTTATATTCTCTAATATTAAGTACTGGCTAGAACGCTTGTATTGATTGTAATATGGACTTATTTGCAATTAAATTGCTAAAATTAAAACATATCTAACTCTTAAGATTCTAGAATATATTGTTGTTGTGAGAACTATAACTTTAGCTTAGCTTCTTCGATTATATTTGATTGAAACTTTTTGTGATCCTAATTTTGAAAATAACATTTTGTAAAATCGGGTTACCATTTCTGAAATTTACTTAAATAAATAAATTAATAAAATTCTTACAGTTTTTGAAAAACAAAGCCTAGGTAAATCTAAAAACCAATTTGACGATAAAAAGATGATAATTTTAAAAAACACCGATGGGCTTGACTGAAGGCAATAAGACTTTTTTATTTCTCCTCTGTCATCGTTAAAAATGTCCGGTCGCATTCTGACCGAAATCCAAAAATCTACTTGGAGGTTTTCGCTTGAATGGAAAAACCCGAAGTGGCCTTGCGCGATATGCCAAGAACGCGAAGTGCTCGGCATCAAAAAGACCGGAAAGAATTCCGCCATTATTTCTCCGACGTAATGTCAGGTATTTTTGCCGGTTTTACGGTCTGCCACAACAAATGACGGGGCGAATTTTCCGGGAGGAAAAGAACCTCATCGCGAGCAAAAAAAAGCGGGCCAACATTGTATATAAATAAAACACCGAAACTCCATTCCGTTTTCGTTGACATTAATCGACTGCGTCTGTGGCGGCTTTGCAGCGTGGCATTTTTTTTTATTATTCGTTCTAATGTAGTATGTCTACAGGGTGTCCGGAAATAACGGTCGAATAATTTAATTGAGGAGAAGAACATTCTTTTTAATATATATACAGGTCCAAAGAAGCATGATTTTTAAAGTACATTGTGCCAAATTTAAAAAAAGGTTTTGAATCTGTTGTGACAAGAGGCTCATTCAAGATTATGTAAATTAAAATTATAAAGTGCAGTAGCATCCCGGGAGGCACCTCACCGAATATTTTCGACAAAAAATATGTACCACTAAGTTTCCAGAAAAAGGAATGTATTCTATGTCCCTAATTTGCAACATAATCCATCGGTTTTTCATAAATATCACGCAGTATCGTTTTTTACTCGAAAACGCAATATTTTTAAAAAGTTGGACACCCTATATCTTGAAAACATTTCCGAACCCAGACATGTCATGTTATCCCTTAAATTATTTCCATGTTATTACCGAACAACCTTTATATAGAGTATTTTGAAGGAGATGATTTCTAGTCAGTTTAGAGGACAAGACTTCAAATGAAAGATAGCAGGCTTAAATAAAACTTGAATCAAATGCTATTCTTTTATAATCAATTATTTCTTGGGAATTCAAAAAAAAAAACAAATATATTTTTTATTATTAGAAATACAGTTTAATAAAACCTGAATGAAAATACAATCGTCGAACAGATTCGAAGTGATTTATAAAAACAATAAATGATTAATTATTAAATAATTGATTTAATATTTTAATTATTTGAGTCATAATAATAGGCAAAATAAATAATTTATAAATTTATCACAAAAATTTATCATGTTGGCAGAAACATACAATATCACAAAATAATAGGAAACTTGAACAAAGTATTAATTTGAAAAATATTGCTAATAAAAGTAAGTTTATGCTATCAAAAGAACCACAGTTTGGTTGTGACCGGTTGCTTTTCTTATCTTGTGTTTAGTATCAAAAAGAAAGTTTTGAAAATGACCGAAGCCGATTTTTTAAGAGGTCAATCTGGTAATTTACCTTTAGCGATTATGTTTATGTTCGCGGTTTTAAAGCTAAAACGCTTGTTCATAGAAAATTTAGCCACTAGCTATAAACCAACAAAATATTGTAATCAGCTTAAAGTTTTATATATTTTAAAATTCAAATGGAATATCAAATAAAATGTAGACGAATAAACAGTTTATCTGGCGTTTTAAGGGTTTTACTGAAACACTATAGCATGATTTGTAATAATGTTTTTGTGTGCTTCCATTAGTATAATGTAAAGCACACTAAGCACAAATACACACTGGCGTAGATTAAATACTTTAAATAAGCCAAAAATAAATGTAAATAATATAATTCTAGGCCTATAACCTGAAAATAACACTATACATGTCGTCGTATCGATCGAAAATCAGCGGTATGACGTCACGATCATTCCCGTGCGTTTAGTGTCGTTTAAAAGGAACAGCCGGGTTATACAAGTTCAATTATTTATTGCAACGTAAATATTGAATTTTGAATATTGTATTAAATAATTTGAATAATATATACCTAAACAAATGTATAAGGGAAATAAAAAAAATGTCAAGTTCCCTATTATCTCCAATTACATGGGATGAATTTAAAAAAATACATTGGAAGTATAGAAATAAAGATAATAGATTAATTCTAAAGGAAAAATTATTCCTACCACAATAATAAACGCAAGATTTAAAGTTTTTCCTTTGTGTTGACGCCACGTGTAACTGATACTTTAAAAAATATTATTTGTGTTCCATGAGACTGCTCTTTTTCAATCACCGCCAAGTCGATATACTCCTCTTATCCGAAAGTCGTAAATTCACTTCGACGATCGATTTTTGGAATCGCCCCAAGAAATTGACATTTATAGCCCGATAATGCCCCAAGAACCTTATAAATGTCAGGATAACAATGTTGATACCGTCGTTGGTCTTAAGCAGCGTGGTCAACCTTTTAACTTCCTCAAAACTTTTAGTTTATAAATGAATATGGGTCGTATACCTCCTTAGACAAAACCTAATTTTTAAAGTTATGGTAATAAATAGTCAAAAATGGGAAATGAAGTCGGAAATATAGTAATGATATCAGCAGCAACTTGGTAATTTGCTCTTTGAAGGTGTAGCAAAAAAGCAATGAAGATAAAGAACGAAATTTTATGCCGAATTTAATCAAAAGTTAATTTAAAATAAATTATAGTTTTGATTAGTTTTGCATCTCTCGATGCCGAATTGAATAATATTAAAAAGGATTTGCTTCAGAATGTAACTGTAAGCGGGAAACAACACCGGAACTATGTGAGGTACTTTTTCTCTCTTGACGGTCCCATACGCGAAAGCAATACCAGAAAAGATTAGGCGAATAGTTAAACAATATAAAGTTAAAACTGTATTTAAATCTGGATCAACATTAAGAAGTGTACTCAGAAAAACAAAGCCTGAAACATGAACTCAAGAGAAAGCGTGTATCTACCTGATACCCTGTGAACGCGGAGAGTCATATATTGGCGAAACCAAACGACCTCTACAAATAGGAGTTGAAGAACATAAGACATATACAATGAAGGGTGAAACGCAAAAATCAGGTATCGCAGAACATGTGTGGACCAAACAACACAACATGGTCCAGAGCGCGGGTTGTTCACAGAGAGCAGCATTGGAGAAAGCACAAATTTAAAGAAGCATTTTTTATGAGAAACAATGAAAACATCTTCAGCAATCCAAGCGTGGATATACCAACAATTTGGCAACGTCTAATAAGGCGCACCAATGCTGGCGTTCTAGTTGAACTTCACGCTTGACTACACCCGACTCCGTCATGGATAAACGCCATCGCCTAGTATATAAACCTTGTAGCCTTAGAATTAAGTTTACTTTACACTTGTTAACGGGTAGTGATACAACTGTCCGAAACGTTGTGTAAGTGAAAAATAAAGACAATGGAAGTTCGACATCCTTTAGTATTATGGACAACTACGGGTGTTGACAGCAACCCTTTTGGTGGAAATGTTTCCCAAAATAAAATTCCAAATTTGGTTTTATGTTCTTTTACTCATATTTTAGGATATGACAAAAATATTGAGATGTGGTTTTGACTAGGTTGTTGGGGTTTAATTAAGCGATTACCTCTATCATAGGAGCCAAAATCGTTCTTAACGGCTCCACGTTTATTAAAATGCGTTAAGCCATTTCGGAGTTTTAAGATTACTTTTAAACTTTAAGAAATAAATGCAAAGCATGAAAGACTGACGGAAACTAGTACCATGAAGTTCTCTTTTGTGCGCCTTATTAGTAGTAAAAAATAAATAAAAATATACGAAATAACCAGCAATAGCCATAAAGAAAGTAAACCCTAAAATCACAAGGAAAAATTGTTTTCCTTAAGAATTGTAATGTTTCCCTTTCGTGAAGCACTTTTTTCTAAGCAGCGAGTCTGCCCCTGCTACCGCAAACAAAATATCGACGGTACCCCAAAAGAATTTTAAACATTGCCTCGGATAATCCTCGTTACGTGAGCTTTTTTCACGAAAACGAAACGTCTTGGCAATTTATTTGTGCTAAAAACGTAATCCCCAAACACCGTTGGTGCATCATCCACTTCGAGAAATAAGTCGCGACCGCCATCATTTAGATGAGGGATTGGTCGAATTGATAGGATGATGGAGAGGAACGTTTGTCTGGCTTTTATTTGGTTTACCACTTCGTTAATTAAAAATAATCCGATGACGGCTTGAGGCCCTTAAGATCTATAATTTAATTCCTTTGGCAAAAATATTACGAAAAATTATATAATATTATTTATTTATTTATTAATTTTTATTTGTATTTCAAAGGCCGCTACTCAGTTAGAGAATGGCACAATATAGACTTCTACTATTTAACAACATCGGGAAGGTGAGCAATAAATCTTTATGTCTACAACGTAAGGAAAGATTAGATTTAAATAAATTATAACTACGAGCTAAAGAAGTTTATATACGATTGTCTTAACTAAACTAAGGCTTGAAAAACACGATTTTTACAATACTGAGCACATCTTATTATAGTAGACTTAGAAAAGTAAAACATATGTCTCGTGGATTAGCGTTAAAGTTCAAGTAATTAATAAAAAAGAAGAAACAGAAACAGTTTATTCGAGTTCTATGCGACTTCAAATTGTACAAAAAAATAGGTATTCTTCGTATGAGCAAAAGTGTCGATCTCTGTTGTATCTAAAGTTTAAGTTGTAAAAAAGTTTTTTTTGTATGCTTAGTATACTTACTATGAATTGGATTCCAAACTGTGTATGAGTATCCTAGCACAGATCTTATCATGCTATTATACCGTGTTATTACACATGCTTGTTGATCACTTTGGTGGTTCTCAAAACGAAGCCCAAATTTTTCAAACATTTTTTGACAATAGTTTCGATATTAGCCTCAAAGTTTGTCTGTGAGTCGAGAACAATTCCCAAGTTCTTTATTTGCTTAACACTTTTCAGCTGCTTATTATCAAGCATTAAGTAAAATGCTTTTTCCTTGTAAATAGAATATATCGGCGTTTTTGAAGATTTAAGAATAAATCTGTGGTTTCTGCAATAATCAGTAAATTTGTCAAGATAGCTCTGAACCTCTAGTACATCTAATTGTGGAATATTTCTTTTTACTTTTAAATCATCAGCAAAAGAGGCATAAATAGTAATCGGAATGCAAAGGCCCTTGACCTAGACATTTATTAAAGAGAATGTTAAGAGTTTTCGACAAAAGTGGGCAATTTTTGTGCCAGTATACGTTCCGGCCGTGGGTCCTCTTTAGGATCCAAGTTGAGCAATATTTTTCCAAAAGAACTGTCTGAAAATCCAGATATGACATAGGAATTGATGAAATGTACGACGGAGTATCCCTCGGTTCGAACACATTATTAAGATAGTCACAAAAAAGTGAAGACATATTTTGAAAATCATTTGCTGTAGCACCGTTATTTTATCAGGCAGTGGATATCTGGGCATAGTTTGAGAAAATACTGCGCAGAAAATGGCAAACTGACAACTGATTCACGAACTTTTGAACGCCACAATTTCTTATTGGTTAAAAGCCATTCATCTCTACAAATATAAATTTGACTAGTAGAAAAAATTTTAAGTACCAATTTTTTTTTGCGTTTGAAATTTTGGTTTAATAATTACTTTCCTTCTCATATTTTTTGTTGTTGCTGTTCACAATCCCAGTGAAAATTCAATGAAGAATAAATTAAATGAACGATGAATACTTAATAATTGTTTTTCTGATTGCACTGGATAATGTTATTTGAGCGTACAAAAAAAAACACAAATGAACAAAACTTCTACATCTTATTATTATAATAATTGCATCAAGTTTTAATATATTTTGCCAAAGGTATGCCACGCCAAAAATATATTATTTATTTAATTGCAAACTCAACATAATTCGGGAATATTATTAACTTACTAAAAAATTTGTATGAAAAAATTACTGCAGACATTTCTTCTGTTTTGTAGAGAATGAAGTTTGTATGATTCCATAATGCCCGTCTTTGGTAGGTACACTTCGTACACACCAGTTTTACGGCCATTGAAATAGCTCAGAAACTTATTTTATACTTTTTCAATGTTATACTCAAAGAACAACATTCAAGTATACTTCTGACAAATGATGTGTACAATACTAAATATTTCCGGGCTTTTGAGCCGTGGTCCCGAGATTAAACTCGACGTTTCGTCTACAACTACGGTAGACATTTTCAAGAGCGGCGATGCGGTAACGGTCGAAGTGTTCTTCCGTACTGCTCTCCGATGACTGGTTGGTTGACTGGAAGATCTGCCGTATTTAAGCGCGCTGTAGTGGGCGTGACCTCGGTGGCGGGCCTTTGCTTTTTACAAAGGTGACCATCGTATCATGTTCAAAGACACGCAGGTACTGGACAAAACACCACATTTTTATCCACGTCTTTTCAGAGAAGCTATTGAAATTCAAAAACATCAGAATAATTTCAATAGAAAAGAAGAAGGTCTCAATATCAGTAAAACATGGACTCGGGTCATCAACAAAACAACGTGTTTACCCAGACAAGCTCAACCCAAGCCCGCCACCGAGGTCACGCCCACTACAGCGCGCTTAAATACGGCAGATCTTCCAGTCAACTAACCAGTCATCGGAGAGCAGTAGGGAAGAACACTTCGACCGTTACCGTATCGCCGCTCTTGAAAATGTCTACCGCAGTTGTAGACGAAACGTCGAGTTTAATCTCGGGACCACGGCTCAAAAGCCCGGAAATATTTAGTAATGTAGTTTCTGGCCGTGAAAGCGTAACATCTTTGATGTGTACAATATTTCAGGACATATAAAATTAAAAGCCTTACAATTTATTATGATTAACACTCTAGATGTTCTACCTTCTTTTATCATTTATACGCGTACTGAACGATAACTAAGTATCAAAAGCACATCTAAGATCCCTCATTTCTATTACTCTAGCAGACACTGTTCCCCCAGTTTTATATTCAAAATCTACTTGTTTCTCTATACTAAAGCTAAGCACAAAACATTAATCCGTATTAAAATGTAATTTATTTTTCTACTTCCATCTGTAAAATACCTAATTATATACACATCGATATAGCGTGCGGGAAGTATCACTTTACCAGGTCAGTTTCGTTTCCCACGGATCCGAGCCATTTCGGACATTTCCGTGATATTACCGCACGCGTTTGAGAGCAATCGGATGTTTTCGCAGATTTTACCGTACAGCTTGAATTTTGACGTTTGTCAATTCTGACGATCATTGCAGTGAATGTATTGGTGTTGTTTTGCAAAAATGTCCCCAAAAAAAGTACGCTCGTAGAAAAAGTATAGTAATTTTTTTAAGTCACTCGTTTATTAAACATTCCCTTCGCTCGTGCCAAATAAATTCAAAAAAACTCAAATGCCGTTTACCACACTTATTGCATAATATACTATTTTTTAGTCCAGCCATGTATATTCCGTAGGGCTTGTTGAAGTTTTAGATAGTCGATTCCGGGATAAAGTTTCAGATAATCACCATATAATAGTAAACGGCATTTGACTCAAGAGTTTATTTGACACGATGTTTAATAAACGAACGTGTTGCATACTATATTTTTGCTACGACCTTTAATTTTGGATACACAACAACATTTTGCACAACAACACGAATACATTCACTGACATGACCGTTCGAATTGACAAACATCAAAATGCAAGGCGTGGGTAATATCTCCGAAAACATCCGATTGCTCCCAAACCCGTGCGATAAAAACCCGGGAATGTCCGAAGTGGCTCGGATCCGTGGGAAACGAAACTGATGTGGTAAAGTGACGCTTCCCGCACGCTAGATCGGTGTGTAATTAAGCATTTTGCCGACGGAAGTAGAAAAAAGTATTTTCCAATTATAAACTAAAAAAATGCGAATCGCCCTAGCAAAATCTGTACAAATAACATCATCTTGACTTTATTTGTCCAATCCCTCAGCAATACATTGAGTAATTTTACAAAGATTTTTAGATGCAGATTTTTTATTTAATAAGCTATGTTGCTTTGTTGATATTTTGTCCCTCATATGTAGCACAAAATATCAACAAAGTATCACCTCAGTATCACCTTTCCCGTTGTCGTGGTATCCCACTTGCTAATATTTAGCTTTTGTTCCAGGTCGCTCTCACCGTCCTCCTCATCACCTGGTTCGGCCTGGGCAATTACTGGATACTGAGAATAAAATGGCCGGATTATGCACCGTCGTCCATCTTCGAACCGAACAAGTGGTGTCACCGTACGCTGTACGTGTTCGCGCTGGTCCACCTGTGCATAGTGTATTCCCTGCTAGGGGCAGTGTTCGTGCTGGTAGTAGTGTTGGCCGGGTGTCAGATTTTCGGGTGCCCTTGGCTCGGACCGGCCCGATACAAATAGCAAAGCCCGCCCGACTACTTCGAACTGTGGGACGTGCCGAGGACTTATCATTAACTTGCTCAAAGTGGTCCGTCGACTTAATGGAGAGTGCGTGCTATGCGTATGGGGGCTCACATCAAACGGAACAGACGTCTAAGTAGAAAAGTGTTAGCTGTGCTTATGATTAGGTAATTACTGTAGCCGTAAGACGTCGCGAGATTGCATTTCCTCAGTTTCTTCGACCCTCTGGGTTCTTTCTTTGTTCGTTCCCAGAGCATGTGTCCAGAATCAAATCAATATTACGTAGACCTTATCCGATCGTTAGCGGCATTAGATACTAATCTTTAGTCAGCCCTTTCGTATTCGATTTTCCCATCATGCAAGCAGTAAAATAAATGATACATTTTTGAGGTATAATCTTTTCAATTTAAAGCCACGCCATGAAAATGTTCTCTGCTCTTTTACTATAGATCGCGAACATTGTCGCCATGTATGATGTAAACGAATGCATGACGCTTAACGTCTTGCCCAGTTTTAGTTTGGGAGACATTGAATTTATAATATCCTATTTTTTTTTTGTAAGGATTTTATAAAACCTGTACGAACCTTAAAATTTGTCTTCTTTTTTCTTCTCTTACAATTCTAGGATCACGAGCAATAAACATGCAAGAAATCGCTAATTGAACTGAGGTGACTTTTACTTGATGGAAATCCATTTATCAAAATAAATAAGAACTAAAAGTTCAGATTTTCACGAAATTATATATTTTTACATGACAATTGTTTTAACAACACCGTGTCTTTGTCAAATGTCAACATTTGATAAAAACACCACCATGTCGTATTGGAGGTTTTTTATGATAGAAGAGAACTGACATAAGCGCGCGAGGTACCTGGCTGAGAGTCCCAAATTCTCAAGACCATAGAATAGGAACACCACATTTTTGTATCATAAAATACAGGAAATACGAAAAAAAAAACGAAAATATTATTCTAGCAATTCAATATTCTATAATTCAATATCAGTTCGTATATGATCCACAGAACTGGTTAAAATTACCAGGTGTGATGTAAGTGATGGACCCCTGCTTTGATCGATATTAGCAATCTTGTAAGCCAAGAGTTCTTTTAAGTAATACTCCAAAAAGAAAGCTTTAGTAACAATTGTCATGTGAAAATATATAATTTCGTGAAAATCTGAACTTTTATTTCTTATTTATTTTGATAAATCACTAAGTTAAATTATGCCTGATTTTTTTTCTAAATTAATTGGTAATTACAAGTATGTGCCACAAATCGAATTACGTTTAAAAATTGAAGCTGGAAACTTTCCACCGTTCCAAATTCTGGATACTCTGCATATTCCCGCACTATATTTTGACGTTAACCCAGTCTCTAAAGACTTCGATGTTCGAATGTTTCACAAATCTTGCAAAATCCGTGTTAATTTGATGTGGGATGATGTGTCATGATATTCACACTGTTAGAATCAATATTCGAGAACGAGTGCAAACGCTTGTTAAGTTTTTCGACTTTAACGGTTAAAATAAAAACGGATGAAAACAACAGGCTCGAAGGAACGATAAAAAAAACCGTAAGTCGGCAGCAAATATGGTCCCTTTGGAACCCCGTGCAAGTCGCGATGTGCTTATGCTCCGTTTTAAATTGAATTTTGCGGGAATGTTTTAATATAGGCTGCAGGCAGGTTTTATTAAAGGAAAATGTCCCCGTAGAGAAACCAATTTTCTTTCCATCTTTGAATATTCTAGGTGGCATCGTATCATTTTTATATGGGAACATTTATACAATATGTATTAACAATGTTTAGTAAAAATTCGTTTTCCCAAATTCGTAGAATCTGAAAATTAATTTAGGTTTGGCGATTGGAAAATGCATTCTTGTATTCCTTATGGAGAAAAATGTTTCTAAGGAAACCAAGTTCACTATAAATAATATTGAAGTTTTTTTGCACACATTAAATAAATTCACTTCGAAAGAAATTCCAAAAACCGGTGTTTTGCGTTTCGTGCCAATAAAATTATAACGTACCAAGACAAACCAAAAACTAAATCGAGTTTGATAAATGAATCGCCCAGACAAATGATATATTGTTACCTCGTTCCTCGGTTATGGATCCTCTGTGTAATATTATATATATTGCCGCCGTTGATGGTTTTGATCGATGAAACCTTTGATTGAATGAGATGGCTTCTTGTATCGGACACTGCTGGGGAAAATAACCTTGGGGAGATGTATTCTCGTCGGCTTTTCCCAGAGGCGACGCTTCCGTACAACACAGGGTGGTCCAGAATTAGATGAAATAGAGCTAAAAATTTTCTTGCCGACATTTTATAACCATTCTAAGATGTAGAATTTTGGGGATACCCTGTATTCGTTGATGTTCTCGGTCTCGTTTCGAATTGTCTAATAAATTTCATTAACCTACCAAACTTCAGGCGATTAGAAGACAGCCGGAAATGAAAGGTGTTTCTAAAGTTCCGGACGCCTTTATAGGCTTCTGGTGTTTTCCAGCTTCCCCTATTACGTTGCGGTTTAAGGTTTATTTCTGCTACGTCGCATTAGGGAAAGCAAGACCACTATATATAAATTAATAACGTATATCATAGAATTTCTATACAAATCTATATTTTGTCATTTTTTTAAACGATTATTGAGCTGCTGCTCCGTCATACGGAAGCAGCGGGAACTTGCGAGGTCCAGCTTTAAACATAATGAAAATTTAGCCAGAGAATTCGAGTTGGGAAGTCGAAGCTAGGTGTCGGTTTAGCGTTACGTAAACATGTTTCATTCTTTACTGGTCTGTACGCAAATAAACGATAGGCGATCTTCATAAATTTTGCTATGACATTAAGCCAAAGTATTTTAGAGAAAATATATATACTTAAATTTCAACCTATAAAAATTACAGAAAAATTAGAACAAAATTGATAAAAGCGCGATAAAAAGGAGGTAGATATTAAAAATGGAAAAATAAGGCTATATAGCAATGGGGATAATTGTATTTCTCTAGCTCTTTTTTTAAATACTTTATTTGCAGAGATTTTTCTTGATGAAATTATTTAAATATGATTATTTGATGAGCAAACAATATTTTCTTTAAATATTTGTGGAAAATAAAATTTAGAATACTCAAAAGTCTTAAAAAAGTCCCAAAACAGCGCACACAAATTCATAAACTTAATAATTCAAAATTTTAGTCATTGAATAAAATATATAAATATAAATAAAACATTATTAATTCTTTTTTAAGGTTTAAAAAATATATTTTATCCTTCTTTCAAATGAACCTAACATATGCAGCTTTTTTCCTGACCATTTACCAATATTTTTTATCCATTACATTCAATACAAGAATTTGCCATTTAAAAAAACGTCTATTAACAACGGCATGAATTATCAGTAGATATTGTACATACACAAGATTGGCTCAGTCAAAATTGAAAAAAAAAATTATAATTTGTAAATAAAGTTAAAAAAATTTTTTCGTATATGGGAATTTATTTTACAAAATGAGACCTAAATAGTATCTGGACCTTTCACGGCGAAATTGTGGCCATTGAGGTGAAATGCTGTAAACCATTAAAATAATTTTATAAAGAACCCTCAAACGCTCAAAGGAGCTAAAAAAATTAAAAAATAATATTAAGCAATTAACAACAATTAAACTTAAACAATAATTATTACGACCCGTCTCCTTCTTTCTAAATAAAATTTACATCAAAAAATAGATATTAACTGCATTACCGGATCATTTCAAATTAAATCGAATATCCTGTAAACTCCCGCCGCATGCTGAACAAGTTTGGCTCTTTTCAAATGAAAGTTTAGTATAAAAATGTTGCCTTTAGTTAAATGTTTGAATCTAAATCGTAATTTCCACCTGCAATTCCGGCTGCGATCAAAATGCAAACAAAAACCTTTAAACGGTTAAAGTTTATTGGTTTTAATCGGAATCATTTAATGTCAAAAATCAGGTCGCAGTCGGCTTTTAAAAACACGGTCGGGTCGAGCTTTGACATCTAAATGGAATCCGTTTCCTGTTTTACCCGCGAGAGTGAACGTTTGAGAGAATCGGTGCCTATTAGAAAGGTTACCAACCCTTTCCTTTTTCTAACGCGCTCAGAAAGGTTTATCGAAATCGAGTTATTTATTTTCCAAACCGCTACCATACACTAGGCTTGACTTCCACAAAATAAACTGTACATTTAAAAAATGGGAAACTCCGAATTCTGCTGGGACTGTATGTATCTTATAAAATTGTAAATTTGTTTGATGTATTAGGAAATCATGTGGGAATTGCTTGCTCGCAGGCGTCGGCGTCTAAAAAACCAAAATGTTAGGCCTCTTTTTAGTCTACGGCCATCCGGCGAATTATGATTAGTTCGAATATTTTGCCTAACATTTTAGTAATTATCAAAAAGTCTAGTCGAAGTAGCAGCAAGTGACAGCAATCGATTCAATTAGATTCATATTTCTTCACAAGTGGACAAAATACACAAAGGTATAATTGGTTGCATATATTTAAACAATTTCCACAGCAGATCTCATTTTTCCTAAAAGAACATTTGCGTTGAACTGTGTCTTTGTGATTGGCTCAAATTGACATGAGGGAATTAGTAAGAAGCCAATTTTTCTGAAACTGGTATGGTGACAATATAATGGTTATTAAAAATGTATTTCTATGTGAAAATAAAAAAAAAATCAAATTTACCTGTAACACAATTCAAACATTCTACAGCTTGAGAACGTAAGACCCATTATTCGAAATGAGATAAGGTAAGAGCTACAATAACGAGTTTAAAACAAAAATTTCTTGTATTGGCTTCTTATGAATCTGGCATTTGTGTATTTCGTAAAGTATCTAATTTCAATTGAAATCATTTCTATATTAGAAGGATGCATTCCAAGACAATTTCAAGCATATATAACACTCCAGGCCTGTGAAGCGACATTTCATATCAACGGAGGGCTTTCTGTTTTTTGGCAGAAACGAAAAGTGTCAGAGCGATTAAATTACATATTTGATAGCAGGGTCTCGGGCTATAAATAGACTAATGGTATATTATGCAACAGGTGCGATAAACGGCATTTGACTCATGAGTTTATTTGACACGAGCGGAGCGAGTGTTTAGTAAACGAGTGAGTTAAAAAGTTTACCGAACGTGTTGCATACTATAATTTTTCTACGACCGTTAGTTTTTGGGTACATTTTCGTAAAACAACACGAATACATTCACTGACATGACCGTCAGAATTGACAAACGTCAAAATTGAAAGCGTGGGAAATATCTCCGACAACAACATCCGATTGCTCCCAAATCCGTGCGGTAAAATCCCGGAAATGTTCGAAGTGACTCAGATTGATGGGAAATGAAACTGACGTCCTAAAGTGACGCTTCCCGCGTATTTTACAGACGGGAGTAGAAAAAATTATTTTATTTATATTTTACTTATTTGGCAAGTTATAAGAATAAAAAAAGTATTTAACACGCTCGCTATGACAGTTTCCGTTTATGCCAAAAAGTGATACATCATATGTACATATATACAAAAAAATATTAAACACTCCCTATACATTGAAAACTTATACTTAAAACATTTAATTATAAACAAGAAATTTCAGTAATATTTTTTCTAAGTGCACTACGTTATACTCTGAATATGCAACCAACTATATACTGGAGTATTTTATCCACAACAGGCCGGTTTGCTTGCTATTTCAAATTGAATTTTAATCAATTTTGAATACGATTAAGGAAAAAAGATTTTTCGAAGTGATATTGCTCCCGCCATAAGTCAACAATTCACTATAAAATAGACGGCAGCGAACAATTTCCACCAAATAGAAAACGATATAGAATAGGGAAAACATATTAAACCCCAACCTCGTATTATGTGTGCGTGCGTTGAAGAACGATCGTCATTATTATACATCGAAATGTAAATGTATAAGCAGGAAACTGGTAGATAAACTTGTGTATAGCATTCTAAATATATGCTTTATGAAAGTGTCAATATTTAAACGTATATGCAGAGAAACTATTTACAACGTCATTGTTTAGGAATTTTCTAGAAGGGGATTGCGGAAGGGCAGTCCGCGGGACGCTCCCGCGGATTCCATGTTCTAAATTAAAGAAACCGACCGGTTTATTTATAATACCGATAATCAAAAATTCTATAAACAATTGAATATTGTTTATTGTAAAGGCTGTTTTTAGTATAATATACCGTTTATTTTCATTGTGATATATGTTGACGAACAAAACGTGTGCGCTTTCGATGTGTTTGTTATGAATTAATGATTTTATCGATTGTTTATGTTCGATATTGTTTATATGGTTATGAAAATAAAACCTGACAATGTAATTCGTATTTTATTTTTACGTTCGGTACTTTTGCCATTATTTGACTTGAGCCAAAATCAATCCACTTATGACGTTTCATTTTCAAATCCACATTAAGTTATTTAATCAAAACATTGTATATAAAGAATTAAATGTTTCTAAGATATGCCTAAACCATTAAATCGACTTAGTTGCCTGGCCACAACGTACCTGCTGCAGAATGTGGACATTAGATCTGCATAGTCTAAAGCCGTACTACTAGAGGATTCGTGCTGTGTTTCAGGACAATTGTTTGCCGTCGAATACGTATATAATAATATATATAACATTTTAAATTCAATAATGCTAATGCTTGTACACTTCAAATTTTTGATAAATCCATATAGGAAATATCTACTAAGTTATAAATCAGGACGAATTCTTTTCGGTGCGCAACAAGCTGGAAGATTAATGAATTATGAAGTGCGGTGGTGTTGCACCTTCTAAAATTTTTTACCAAAAAAAAAAATGGGTGCCCCACTGATCAAAATACCCAATTTCGGAAAAAAAAATGATGCTTTTGGTATTTTTTCCCTTGTTACAAAGAAAACGTCTTTGGTTCGATTATTTTGCTTTTGATTGAAAATCATTGTTGTTTTTATAATAATTTTGTGATTCTTTTAACTATAAATGCTTTTTTCTGCTCCCGTCTATAAAATATCTATTTACGCACCCATCAAGCGTGCAGGAAGCGTCACTTTACCACGTCAGTTTCGTTTCCAACGAATCCGAGCCACGTTTGTTAATTCTGGCAGTCATGTCAGTGAATGTATTAGTGTTGTTTTGCGAAAATGTACCCAAAAACTAACGGTCGTAGAAAAAGTATAGTATACAACACGTTCGGTAAACGGCATTTGACTCACAAGTTTATTTGATATGAGCGGAGCGAGTGTTTAATAAACGGGTGACTTAAAAAGCTTACCGAACGTGTTGCACACTATATTTTTTCTACGACCGTCAGTTTTTGGATACATTTTCGCCAAACAACACGAATACATTCACTGACATGGCGGTCAGCATTAACAAACGTCAAATTCAAGGCGTGGGAAATATTTCCGAAATCATCCGGTTGCTCCCAAACCCGTGCGGTAAAATTTCAGAAATATCCGAAGTGGCTCGGATCCGTGAGAAATAAAACTGACGTGGTAAAGAGGCGCTTCCAACACGTTAGATCGGAAGATAATTAGATATTTTACAGACGGGACTATAAAAACGTTTTAACTCACTGGTTTATTATACACTCGCTCCGCTAGTGTCAAATAAACTCGTGAGTCAAATGCCGTTTACCGCGCTTGTTGCATAATATACTATTGAGATAATCTCATTGGCTTTGTTTCTATAGACTTCCATGATTATATTCATGCTGAAAATCCCAGGTCTTTGATATTAAGGTCTTACGGCATTGGGTAGAGATATTTAACATCACACGCCGCGCCTCCTGGCCATTTTTTGTGGTGTGGTTTCGTGGTCGTTACAAATGCATTTTTGGAATAAACACTATGGCTGATTTAGAGAAATTCACACATCTTTCTGAAACATGGCGTTTCAGCCACATGACGAAAATATTTAAATAGAAGTCAATAACTTCATTAAGGAATGCAGTGTAATTTAGAATATTAAACCAAATTACATTATTGAGGAACTAAACAAAACAATAGTAGTTTCTCTATGAATTACGTTATTTACGAACATTTTTTATCTCTGTGAGGTAACCAATAAAGTTTAGACAAAAAAATCTTATGTCTCCACAACAAAGTTCTTCTTGTGTCAATTTCTTGAAAGAAAATTCCAACTTCTCATAACAAAATTAATATTTTAGTACTGTTTGTTGTACGTTGCCTTAGAGGCATAACCCAAATAACCATACTGAGGCGAACATTTTTTATTTTGTATAACAGAATATAGATGGACCAAATATTTTAGTATATATCAGAAGAACAAATAAATGCCAATGTATTGGAGACAAAATTAAGTTACAATTAAGTTGAAATAAAGTTAGGAAAATGAAGTAAGTACCTACTATAATAAAAACTATACCATATACGTTAATCTAATCATTTGTCGTATTCTTGTTTGTATATATTATTTAAACAAACTGGGTTTGGTAGTAATAGGTAATATTTGAAAATTTATCTTAATAAACTTCTGAAATTAAATTTCGTAGGTATATTGCCCAAAACGCTATTTTAAATATCTTATCAATATTGTAGTGATTAGTTCCATTCCATTTCCAGTTCTATTTTATTGACTTTACAATAGTTTTGCCACCTCATTTTGTATTGACTAAGAAATCTGTGTTATTTTTGAAATATATAAAATATATAAAAAAAAAATTTATTTAAGGTTAGATTTTCTTCCATGAATGGATAACGTAAGATAATTTAAGGAAAAATTCTTAGGGATTCTTAAAGCGCATAGATTGTAACGCAACTATTTGCTAGTATTATTACATATCAAGTGAATAATATAATGTCTTCCTTTTAAAAGGTTCTAACCTTAAACCAATTTTTAATGATCTTGAACCAAAGTAATAAAGCAGTTATGATAAAAGTGAAGGCAAAGCACAAAACTCTAAGTTAATGCCTCAATTTCATATAATTTTAGGCTAAAGAAAATGGGGGTATTTGTCCCAAAGCTTCTTTTGTATCAGATCATAATCTCCATTAATTTCGCCTATTTCAAATTATCAATGCACTGTTTTCTCTTTAAATTAAGCAACTATAACTATTTAAATGTTCCGAATTCGGGAGAGCGTTTTTAAAAAAAATTGTTTATACGGAAAGCAAAATAAAGTTTTATTTAGAATAGCCGATACAAAGGCTGGAATAATTAAGAGCGTTTTTACAATGCGACAATCGAATATATAAGGCTTTTGATGCAATGTCAGCTAAACGTTATTTTCGCTTAGCTTTTAGCTTCGTCTGCTGTTCGGGATATATTGTTTCATGATTTTTTTTCGTATCTTACTTCGTTTTCGAGAAAAAAAAACATTCTTTCCCATGATGCTATTTGGCAAAAAATTCTAATCGATATATAATAACCGTTATCCGGAAATGTGGCAGTTTAAGAGGCCAATTTATCTTCAACTAAATGAAAATTTTTGGGTCCAGGGACGCGCACTATCTATTGACAAAAATTTCTTATTTTTTCGTATTGAATCACCTCCTTAAATTACTAGAACGTCATTTCCGTCAAATCCGGACAAATGTAGCATCCTTTTTAGCAACTTAAAATAATAAATAATGAAAAATAAAGTAAAATTCTTAAACTTAAACAATTAGATAAGCTTCAGTCCTTCTTTTTTACAACAAAACTTTTTATTTTTCTTATTTTGGATTGGTAGTTTCACACATTCACAGAAGTTTTCTTTGTTGTCTTTTCAAGATGTACTTGGCAGTAACAGAACTTCTTGATTGGATATATTTTCTATAAAGAATAAAATTAATTGGTTTAATTGAAATGTTTCAGGATTCAAAATAGTACATTGTACAAAACGTTACAAATATACACCCCATCTTATAAAAGAGTGATTTAAGAAGCTAAACTTTATACTTTGTTTTCTACCACCATTAGTTTTTAGTTACATTTTTACAAAACAGCTCGAATGCATTCACCGGGATTCTTTCATTTATAAAGAACTTTACCAGGCTATTTTGCAGATGTCTCGTAATTTTAAACGTGTTGCGATATTTACTGCAACCTAAACTGCAGGTGTGTTGCAGTAAACTTCGTACATAACCTGGTACATGCTTAAATTATGGACGAAACATTGCTGCAAAATTAGCCTCGGTTATCAGTGCAAGATGTTTTTGAAGTTTAAATTTTAAAATTTTCGAAGATTTCGAGCAGATATGAATAATAAAATCCTGCAAAATTTTTCCCACTTTAAATCCGGGTTTAGTTATTTCTACCCAGAACTCACTCCTATTTATAATATTAAGAAAGCCACTAATTACAGTAATATACCGGTTAGTTTAAAAACTATTTTTTAACGTGAAATTCAAAACTTCGTAGAGCCTGTGATTTCGTCTTTTCTTGTCAAGAAATAACTTCGTTTCTTGATAATTTTATGCGATAACGTTTGGATTTTTTTACTGAAACCGACATTTCTCTCCGCTTTATTTGTTTTTTTAATCCAGATAACTCAAAAACGACTTTTAAAATCAAATTATCAAATTTAACCTTTCTGTTGATCATTTGGTTGTCAATGTATACAAAGTACAGCACCTGGGGTCTTCTAAATTTTATCACGAATATGAACGTTGGTTTTAATTTTTCATCGCACAAAAACCCTCCTAGCCAAATACGATAAAAAAGTAAGATGAATTTGTATTTCGCTTTTGCGCGGAGCTAAGTCAAGTTATATCGTCATATTTTTGACGTCATGAAGACACCTTTTAGAGCTACCAATTATAATCGTCGCTAGAGAAAAAATACAAAGCGTAAAGACCAAGTACGTTAAACTGTCCAATTAAGTCAGAACGCGTTGCCCACAATTCCTTTCGTAAATGGTATTTCGTATTTTATATTCATATAGAAGCTCAGATGGGATTATTTTTTCACTTCCGCTTCTACGCACCAATTTAATGATCGACATAGTATCTCGCACCGGTTCTAATATCCGCATTGCGAGTTGCCGAAACGATTATAACTGCGACGTTAGTCCAGCCTAAATACATAAGGAGGCATCCTTTATATACCCCAAGGTCGTAATTTATACTCGGAAATTTATAAAACTACAATACCGAAAATTTATGTTCGGCAAATACGGCAACAAAAGGCATATGAATCCGTGATATAAATTTGCTTCCGAAGCAATTATTATCCCAACATAAAGAAGGGAATATTAATTCCTAAAATAAACATATAAAACAAGATTTGGATTAACCGTTAACAATATAACGCGAAAATAACCAGTGTTTGATGTTTTGCCCCTCGTGAAAGGGAGAATGCATCAGATACAGTACCCA